GGGGCTGGAAGGGACCTCGAAAGATCATCTAGTCCAACCCCCCTGCCAGAGCAGGGTCACCTAGAGTACCTCTCCTTTCATTTCACCACTGGGGGATGGGAAGAGAGGGGAAATGGATATTGTAAAAGCTCAGAATTGCTTAATTATTTTTCACCTACTCACTTAAACCTTCAAAATAACAGTTTGTGAGACTGATTATATTTTCTAATTTTGTCCAAACAATGTGAATACTCTTTACATCTAAAACATTAAATTTTTATATGCTTTCATTGAGTTTTGTAGTTTGAATGAATAATTTTTAAGTCTATATAGACACTGTAAAATGTTTTAGATGAGGTGGTTTTAGGTTTTGAAAATGGAAATAATTTAGAAACCACTTTTGAAACAATTCTTGTTATCCATAAACTGCTCCTTTGGATACTGAATATTTGTATTAGAATCTGTTTCAAGTGAAGAGGTGAATGAATGTCTTGGGACTTGAAATATGGTACAGTATTCCTCTTTAACTGTGCTATGTTTTTCTTATGAAATACTGATTATAAATTTACTAAAAAATTTTGAGATTAGGGTAGTCTTGCCACTTGCTCTCATGGTAGTGACTAGTCTCACTGCAAAAATAACTCTATAAAGTTTGTTTTTATTTTCAGCTCATCTTCTAATGGAACATTCCTTGTAATCAGTTTATCATATGAACATTTATTTTAATCTTGTTACAGATTACTCTGCTGTTGTGTACAGGTCTGTAGAGATATAATTTTAGGTTTGTGTAATATATGTTTTTGTCGTGTTTTGCCCAAGTCAGGTCCAGACATGACTGGTGCTTCACTGGGAGTACAGCTGTTAATAGAAACATGTATCACTTAGACTTCTCTTGTATTTCTAGATAGATAGATATGACTTCTGCATATTAAAAGCAGCATGTCTGAGTTGAGACTGTTGCCACTGACAGTCTGATGGTTTTAATTTCAAATATTTTAAACACTATTTTTTAAAGCATTCCAAACTCCCATGTTTTTATACAGGAAGAATAGCAATGCGGATGAATGCATTACTGTTCAGGAAAGACTAGTTTATGGCAAGAGGCAGTAGAAATAATACCATGTGTTAGAGCAGCTAAAATGGAAGGCAAAAACTTTGTAAATGCTTAGGTGCAGAAATCTCCTCATGTCTAAAAAAGAAACCGCAGAATTCCAACTGAAGTACTCACTAAGAACAAGAAAAGCTATCTTAAATAAGACTATTTTAAACAAAAAGTAGTTGATCCCTGCTGTGTAGAAAGAGGTTGTCAGTAAGATGGGTATTAGTAAATATCAGTTAAGTTTTTTCCTAATGGAAACAGCTTGATACTTTATCAACTACGGAATATGGAGGAGGTAATGAGGGGACATGCTTATGTGCTATAAGCAAGTACCTCTACAGAATCCTTTTAACATCCCATGGGGTTCTGTGTTGGAATTCATAAGCCAAGGGTCTTTTTGTGTCCATTGAGAACCTGGGCTGACAGGTCACAGGCATACTGCCAAGCTGACTTCACTGTTGCTGGGAAGCAGGCTGGATGCACTCCGTGTGTGTTGGTGGGTGAGGAGCAGAGCCATGATGCTGTCCTGGGTGGAGGCAGGAGCAGCTGAGCCCCAAGCTGGGGCCGTGCCACAGCAGCGCTTCCAACCACCCACCTAACGAGAGCAGCCAGGAGAGGAGTTCGTCTGCCTGTCTTTTACTTGAGCTCTTGGGTGGATTAGTGTCTCTTTTCATTCCCCCAACTAGATAAATGTTTCATAGGCAGCCTTAATTATTTTTTATGTATATTAAAGAGTAGTTATAAACTCCTATTTCTGGCAAGGGTGCCTGGTCTTTGGGTCTTTTAGCCTTTCAGCTTCGGAAGAAAAAAAAAAAAGTAGGACTAGATAAAAGAGTCACTTTTAGCTTTGACTGAGTTGTTAGGGTTTAACTAGATAGCCAGTATCTAGCCTTGTAATCTAATAATTGAATGTCAGGTTTTATAAGATTTTTAAATTGTTTCACATTGAGAATGTTTATAAATCACATCTTATTTAATACAAACAATATGTTATAGGCCACTACAAATCAACCACAAACATGTAAAGAATTTATCTGTCTCAGAGTAAGATCCCAAGTGTAAACATAATTTTTAATAGTTCTCTTTGCTCTTTTTAGAAGAGCTGAAAGAAACTTAAGTATAAAACTGTAAAGAAAATTGCTTGGACAAGGGAGTGATAAGACTAATAGGTAGTGATATTTTTTTAACAGTAATCAAATGTATGTGTAAACAAACACAAGTAACTGATTAATCACTGTGCAAGTATCAAAAGTAACTCCATTCAGCTGTTTAAAACTGCTCTAACCATCAGTAAAGTAAATTGTGGCTCTTGTAAAGACATGGTATTTGGGAGGCATTTTTATAAAGGAGAAGGTGGATACAGAAAAAAAAATATATAGAAGAGCAAATTTACTACAGCTACTTTAATACCATGTTATTGAGGAAAGACAATGCAAGTCTAAAGCATATTGTGTCTTTACTAAGTGAGGCTGCTAGAACTACAAAGGTTAGGAAGGTAATTTTGCTCCTGGTTCTCAGTTTGAAAGGTGCTAAGGTTGTGCCTTGGTCAGATCAGGTAGCAGTGTCTGAAGGACTGCAAAAACAAAAAGTCAAACTCAGGCAGCATGATTTGAGATAAGCTTGTACTTTTTGTAAAAGCAACATGAACAGATCAGTTGAAAGGTATTTACAATGATATAGCAAAAAGAACATGAGTAACACCAAAAATTCCAGCAGGAGAAAATTATAAACATCTCCTTCAGCAAAGTTGTTTGATTTTTGTTTTCTAAAAAAAAAAAAAGAGTAAATTATTTCAAGTTTTTAATTTATTTATTTGAGATATCCGGTACTTGTAAACATCTCTATATTATGTAGCTGTATACAGGTAAAAAATTAAATGCTATTTAAGTGGCTAGCAAGTTTGTAAAAGTGGCTAGCAAGTTTTCTCCAGGTTATCCTTCATGCATTTTTCATAATTATAGTTTAGAAATTACGTAGGAAACACATTATGTGTATGTACATTCATCATACGTTTTGTTCAGCTAGTACAAAGAGTTGTTCAAGCCATTTCTGTGGCTTAGTGGTGTGTTTTATCATGTAAGGTTGTAATAATTTGACATAAAGGTGTCCCACTGCAGAAGTGGGCAGCCCAACCTTCTCTCAGTTCCTGGCTGCTTGTTCCCAAGAGCTCGAGATGTTCTCTTCTAGCTAAAGTAGTGAAAGATAATGGTGTGATAATCTCAGCATCACATTAACACATGTGCTGGGACAAAAAAAAAGGACAAAATCCTCAAGGAATAGAGCTGAGAGAACATCCTTTCAAAAACGGTCTTTGATGCATTGGTTTGAAGGAAGTGCTTGACGGTGGCCCGACTAGCTTTGTTTATTACTTAGTTAGGGTTTTTTCTGCATGACTCAGCAGGCAAACGTAGTGGATGGATAGTATATAAAACTAGAAAGTTCTTAAAAATTCCAGTCCCCTTTCACTTATTGACAGTAAACTGAAGCTATATTATGTATACAGTCAATGCCATGCTTTTTAAGAACCGAAGGAAAAGCCTAATTAGTGATTTCCAAATAAATAATACACTGATCATGGAAGTACAGATACGTTCTGTTCTTCTCATTCCGTTCCATTCCATTCCTGTTTGTGTTTGTATATTTCTTTTAAAATATAATTTTTTTGGAGGTAGGAAGTTAAGCTACTTGTAAACTAAGCAGTTACATAAGTAATTTCAAACTTAGAGGGAAGTCATAGGTAGCTACTCAGTGTGCTTGGGCAAATGAAACCTATTTGGCTGGCGTAATTCTTTTGTGCTGCAAGTTAGCCTACATCTCTTTGAAGTTGTTAATAAATTGCTGTACAGCGACCAAAAAGCAGTCTTGACAAATGTGCTTCTGTGCTGTTTATGCACTGGAAAGGTTGTTTTTCCTTATTACTGCTCTAACCATAACACTACCTGCCTTCCACCCTTTTACTGGCATCCTCTTACTCATTGCAACAAAGACTAGATTCCAAAACTCCTCCCATGAACTTCTAACGTAGTTCTTGTTCACTTACATGATAGTGATGTGAATGTTCTTCAGCACCATGTGATGATGAACCCTCATCACCTACTTCCTGTGTCATCAGTTTTGTGCTTGCTCTCCTTTTGCCCTTTGTTTTTGAAAGAACTTTGTAAACATCTAGCTAACACATTATGTTTCTTCAAATGCTTCTTCAGCATCATAGAATGTCGAGTTGGAAGGCATCTCAGGGATCATCTTTCTAGGTTGGAACACAATTTAGATGAGATAGCTCATCACCCTGTCAAGTTGAGTCTTAGAAGTGTCCAGTGTTGGAGAATCCATCATTCTGGAAAGCTAATATAAATCTTAATAAAACCAAAGTCACCCACCATACCAATCAGTATTACCTCATTCTCTCTTTTCTGCACGTTTTTGCATCCCTCTCTCTGTTGTCTTGTACTTCACCTATGATTTCTAAAAAAGTAGTGGTTAAAACGAAGTTTTTCTAGGGTGGGAGGTCCTGAGTCCAGAATAGTGGTAGTGATGGGTCTCACCTCAGCTGTGTACTGTAAACTTCATCATCATCAAGGACTAGCATCAGTTCTTCCTGGAATTACAGTGTAAGATGAGTTGGGGAAGCTAGAAACAGGAAAGAGAGGCTCCTGCCTGACTATGTAGTCTCTTGGCCCACACTTGGAATTTTATGTGCAGTGTAATAGTTGGAGGTACTATAACAATTATTTTGGACTCCAAATAAGAAAACGTTTGGATGGAAATACTGTTGCTCTGCTATTAGACATCTAATGGTGGTGTTATGTTTAGAAAATAAGGAACTGTGTTATTGAAAAATAGCTAAAGAAATACTGACGTGTTTGTTTCTTTTTTTTTTTCCATCCAGATAAATACCCTTCAGTTGGAATTTATTATTGCCATTATGTATCATTCTTTGTCTGAAACCAGTCATCCTTTGCAAACAGAGGAACAAGAAATAGGCATTGATCCCTTGCAGAGTTCTTTGAACAAGCCAGAGGAAGGTGAGTTTTGTATTTCTGTGCTTTTTTTACTTTATACCTAGAAACCTTATAAAAGTGTGTCATGATAACTGCAACTGTAATAATTTGTTTAATTCTCTCAATGACGCTGAACAGGACAACTTAAAGAATATTTTGGAGTGTATGTAGAACACTTGGACACTAATGAAAACCACAAAAAGTCAACTTTCAATTGCAGACAGAAATATTAACCAAATGTTTAATGTGCTGTCATCCTTTTTTAATCATAAACCAAACACTGACTTCAGCATAAGAATATTGAATGGCAGTGTATGTCTCTGTGTTGTGTTCTGAAGCATGGGCTCTTTTACACTGCTTTGATTTGGGAGATTTTTCTAGGTTGTTTTGTAAAACAGAAAGTAAAGTTCAGTATGTTATTTTGGATGAGATTATGCAAATAAAAAGGCTGATTTATTTTTTTTTTGTTTGACTCAGCACCTATATTCATATTTGGAAAAAGACCTTGCAAGTTAAGATAGAAGGAACAGGCTCTAAAGGTAGAAATTATGTAGTTACATAAAGTAAATTAATTAAACACAGTATTTGGAAGACTCTAATAAACAGAACAAACTTGCATAATGCGATGTATGTCTGTATTGCTTATCTTTTCTACTTATTTGCTAGTAGTGACAGTATAGTTGTCTTGAAGAAAGTGATAAGCTTGACAAGAAATCTCATTCCTATCATGAAAACATTCCTCAAGTACTTGGTTATACACAGTGGCACCTTAACTACCTGTAATTTTCCAGTTATTGAACACATGTACCAGGAGGGCAAAATAAAAAAATTATTTTAAATTACAGAATTGAAACAACTTTGTCACATTTCGTAAGTCCCTCACCCAGATTAGCTACTCTGTGTGGGTGTATCTGTCTATAAATCTTCTGTTTACTGGTGCTTATTAAAAAAGCTATGTCAAGTTTTGCTTAGTCAGGTTTATTACTTCAGTTTATAAGAAGCTGGCGTTTTGATTTAAAATATATTGGTAAAACTTCATTGTCCCTTTGAGCTAATTTTATTTTTCATTTTTTTCTTCATTGGTTTATAAAGCTTTTTCAATGTTAGAAAATGAAAATGAACATCTAGGGGGAAGTATTTCAAAACCTGATGATTAAATTAAATTGCTTTTCTAGGTCAGTGTTCCTGCTTTATTATACTTGACATCTTAACGATATGGAGGCATTTCAGTTTGATAAACTAAATGCATTTTTTTACATATTTTTAGAAACTTGAAATAATCTTTTGCAATAACCTAAAATAATAACCATTTTCCAAAGGAAATATAAATTGCTTCTAGTTTTCCCCAGTCAAGAAGAAAATAAGCATTTTCTTCTGATTTTTTTCCTTTAAAAAATACTGGTAATTCTCTCAACTCTGTTTCAAGAAAAACAAGATTTTTACTCTGTTAAAAACTGCTGTAAATTAATTTTACCCTTTATTGTACTCAGAAGCAATTGGTTACCTTGTTCTGAAAAGGTTTCTCATTTTTATCCCAACCTTAACATTTCTGTGACATACAAAGTTATTAGTATTGAATTGATGTTTAAAAGTGCCATTAATTCATTTACCCCAAATGTTCATTAACAATGTAAATGTATGCTGATGTTCTATGAGACAAGGAAGTGACTAATGACTCTTCGCACTAACAACACTTAAAATGAATAGAAACTTTAGATAGCTAATCTTGAAGTAATCAAGACCCTCATTCAGCTTGGCATCTCTGTATGCTCTAAAACAGCTGTCAACTGTTAAAAATATATACACAACACATACATACGCACATGCGAAGATAAAGATATGTAAATACATGGTTCCCCGAGTCATGAAGGTTACCAACTATGGTACATCTTTTATGTTCTATCTATGTAAATATTTTATATAAAGCATCCATTTCATCTTCTTCTTTTTTTTTTTAACTGCGAAACACATACTGCATTTTAATTTGAAACTTTATATATCTAAAACAAGTTTTTGAAGTTTTAATATTTCGTTAGGTTAGGTTTCGTTAGGTTGCCATCAAGGTATGCAGTTGTTCCTGACTGTGCAGTCTGTCCATCATTGTCTTCACAAAAGAATTCTGAACTCTGTCTCAAGTTTCAGGCATGATACAGAATCGACTTGGTGAAAATCTGTATTTTAACGTCTTCTGTCTCATGTATGACAGAAATATGGAGAAGAGGTCAGCCATCAGTAGGAGATGTTCTGTGCAGTATTGTAGATTATCAGGGCATGTGAACTGTTTGTTGAAGCTGCACTGAATGCTTGTAGTGAAGACAAACATTGATAGGAATGCTGAAAATAAATATTTAATCATAGAACTAGTCATATTTGTTAATCTACTTGAAGTACTGTATTTTTAATATGTACAAGTGATACCAAAGCTTGATGGAGAACCAGGAGATGTCATGTCCAGCTGGAGTTCTGAAATTCTCTCACAAGGGCTTTTCATAAAATGAAAGAAATCCAAGAAATATGTGGATTGCTGTTAAGAATAGCTTGTTGGAAAACTGCATGCACAGACTACTTTTTCTTCATTTGCTTACAGCTTGGAAGGATATATTGAATGGGATTCTAGAAGTACATTGATTGAGTCTAGTAGTACTTACTGCTTTTATTAAAATCTCACTGAAGGTATAATGAAAAAACATGGTTTCTTTGGGACAGGACTGTTAGCACAATGGAGGACAGATATGCAGTTCAAAGTACTCTTGAGATTTTGGAGAAGTGGCCTGAAAATTAATATGACATGGTTCAGTAGCAACAACTGGAAGGATTAATGTTGCAAATGCTAGGCAGGAGACAATTACCTAGCTGTACAAATACAGAGCATTACAGAGGAGGTAGGTGTCATTTGGAGAAGGATCTGGGAGTTCATAGCAGTCCAAATTTCTTGAAACTGAGGATCTTCGAATCTTGAGTTATGATGAGTCATGAGAATGTGGTTGCTTGCAAGTGTAAAACATTCAGGATAGGCTGTGAACTAACTGGCAGTCAAGCTCTTTCTTTTATCTGTTTGAAATATTTTTGAAAAATAAATATAGGATAGTATTCAGTCTTTTATGATTATTGATTTGGCCTGTGTTATTTTCCTCATGTTGGATTTTTTTTCAAGATAGAAAAATGTCTATTGCATATATGCACTCATATGCTTTTTTAAAATAGTATTTTTAATAGCTGGTGAGAAATTCATGGCAGAGCTTCTCACTTTTGCAATCTGATACTTCAAATGGAAGATTTCAGGGGTTTAAAGAAATTCTAAATTTGGATTTGATCTTTCAGATGTATTTACATGCATATATGCATTGTTGTGTTCACTTTTGACTATAGCAAGTTGTGATATCTTGCTATACTTTCTGTTCTAAGAATCTTCATGATATTGCTCATTTTATTCTAACAGTATTTTTAAATTATTCCCTCTGAAATAGAGGTTTTTATCAGAGAAATCAGATAAGGATGAATTTTATCTTCTCTCCAGCACAGACTTTTTAAGCCCTGAATATACAAAGAGAAATTTCAGAAACTTTGTTCATCTGACTTCTCCCTGTGTAGTGCATCTGACAAACTCTTGTTCATTTCCAAAGGCTTGAGGTTTATGTTACATTGAAAAGGGTTTAACTAGATTAACTGTTTCTGAGCTGCTATAAGTTTTTACTCTTAAGTTACAGCATTCATCACATTTTTACAGAAGTTTTGAAGAGTGTAGTAGGTAGTATTCCCATTTCATTGATGTATTGAGAAAGTTGATCCTCTAAGGACAGACTGGAACAATGCATTTAATACTCTTCAATTTAATTTGCTCAATATCACAATTAATACAATTAAGGTCACTTGAAATGAAACTATTAACGAATTGGGTAATTTACTTTAACAATGTCAGTGTGTTCTCACAATTACATTTGCTTTAATTAGTGTACAAGCTATTATTTAATACCATGCTTCACATAGAAATATGTAATGTGTTCTTTGTTCTTAATAGAAGAAAAGGGGAAACCTTTAATGGGTGTGTTTTGGATTTGGAGTTTGAGGGTGTATATATCATGGCTAAAGGTTATAGTTGGTAGTGAGGACAGAGAAGACTGCTGTAGCTGGAAGGACAAAGATAACTACTGCAGTGTGTGACTGAAATTAATCCAGTTGAGATACATGAGTTGCTCACGTCATACTTACTTACTTACTATTACATACCTCCTGATTCTTAAGGCTGCCATGAAAAAATATGAGAGATGGTAAGAGAACATACATATTTCCACTTTGACTGTATGCTCTGTGTTACCATTGCTCATCATTAGAGAATTTTACTGTTCTGGTGTTAACCTCATAACCCTGATCACTAGAAAGTATTACCATGTAAAACTATACCTTACGTGGAATTTGAGATACCAGGTATATATCAGTGTTATACAGAAAACTTGTAGAGAACAGGAGGGAATTAATAAAGTAAATGCCAGCTTCTGGGGGGGACTGTTATGGTCTTAGGTACATCCTTTCATATTTGTTCCACGCTTAAGAGAATTTTTACTGTCAAAAGGTTTATCTTCTAATCAGTCAGTAGCTATTTGGTGTTCTGAGTTTGGGTTTTTTGCCCTTAGAGGCCCCTTCTGTCAGGGACACAATGCTAATGCAGATTGACCTGTATGGTGTTTATCTGTCTCTGGTTTTAGATATAATTTCTGCAGTTACATTTAAAAGTAGCAACCACAGAACTCTAGACTTCTCTGTGTGAGAAGTACATTCCTAAGTAAAAGCAACTGAGAGTTGCAGATAGAGTGAGGTTTGAAGCCTTACTACTTTCTTATCAAATATTTTTAATTAGCATGATAGCATGTGTGTCATGTAATGTGTGTTCTTTCATTCTCTCTCCAGGGAGCCACATGTACATGAAGTATAGCACTGTGTTTTTAAGAGTCCTTTTAAATATGCATGTTACTTTGTGTTTTCATTACAAAATCAAGATTGGTACAGAGAACCTCTTTGCATTATAT